TAAAACATCGTAGACCTATTGGATTTGATGAACCTCGGTTAACCTATAAAGATTCGGTTTTATATTTACTCGAACCCGGAGAATTAGAATTTGGCAGGAGACGCATAACTGATATGAATTGGTCTCCAAAAGTTTATCGCATTAAAGAATCGTTAATACAAAAAAATCAACCGGTGTTATACTGGCTTATGAATGAAAATGGAGATGGACCTGAAAGATCATTTGTAGAGAACAATTATTATTAGTAAATAACAATATAGAATATCCCCCGAAATGGATACTTAATAATAATTAGATTTAAATATAATAAAAGATAATGTGTAATTACCTCTAAAAAATGAGACATAAATTATCATTAATAGATGCTCGCAATATTGCTTTAGAAAAAAATGGAGAATGCCTTTCTGAAATTTATATTAATAATAAAACTCCTTTACATTTCCAATTTAACAAATATCATAAATGGAATGCTTCTTTATGTGATATAAAAAGAGGAACTTGGTGTCCAAAATGTTATAGACCTAAACTTAATATTAATATTACTAAAGAAATTGCATTTAAAAAAGGTGGTATTTGTCTTTCTGAAGAATATATACATCATTATCTTGGCAATGTAAAAAAACCATATATGGCAAGCTCCTTTAGAAAGAATATAAAAATCAACATTCTTGATGTTCTAAATGCGCTGGTAGTTGGTGGAAAAAAACTTACTCTTCAGATTGCTAAAGATATAGCTCAGTCTCGAAATGGGAAATGTTTATCAGATAAATATATTAATATAGCCCTCACTGTTTAGGTAATGCAAAACTTAATATTGATATTGCTAAAGAAATTGCATATCGTAAAGGAGGAAAATGTTTATCTGAAAATTATATTAATATAGATTCTAAACTTTTATGGGAATGTAATAAAGGTCATCAGTGATATACAAATCTTAAATGTGTCAGAAATTTTGATACATGGTGCCCATACTGTTCAGGTCGTTATTCTTGTAATCTTGAGTTGGCTAAAAAAGTAACAAATAAAAAAGGTGGTGATTGTATTTCTGAAAAATATATTAATTCGATTACACCTCTTTTATGGCAATGTGCTAAAAATCATCTTTGGTATGCAAATCTGGATAAAGTAAAAAATTCCGATACATGGTGCCCCTTTTGTCCATGGAAACGAGAAGAACTTTGTAAAAATGTAGTTACAAAATTATTAGGTTCCCCTTCTGATATTCGTAGACCAGATTTCTTAAAAACACCTGATCATCCATTAGGACTTGAACTTGATATATACTATCCACAATATGGTTTTGCTATCGAAGTCCAGGGTATACAACATGAACGTTTTCACGCTTTCTTCCACAAAGATCAAGAGGTATTCAAAAAGCAGTTTGCACGTGATCAGCTAAAAAAAGAACTCTGCGATGAAAATTGGATAGTACTTATCGAAGTATGGTATTATGAAGATCCTCACACAGTAATCCCTCAAAAACTTCAAGAATTGGTCTTATTCCATAATTGGTACCGTTCAATTATATCTTTTCCTTGGGAAATCAAGAGATTATTATTCGGAATAATTTATCAGTGCCGACATTGCATCATACTTGCGTACCTTGTGATTGATCTGATTAAATAAAAAAACGATTAATCATCTGATTAATTAAAAACATATCTTTCTTTTCAAAGTTTTCAAAAATGATTAGTCAATTTCTATCCCTAGAAAGGAATTTTAGGAATGTAGAAGAAAAGGGTCTAAAAGAGAAGCAGTAAGTGTATATCACGCGGATGGATTAAGTTTCACCTAGCATTGACTCGTATATAGTTTGCCTTTACAGATAGGCTGGAATTTGTCAGTAGAAACCATTGACGCTTTCTTTGAACGCCATGAAACACCTGGATATAAGTTTGACATTGATTCGAAGGGAAACGTATTTATAGTCGAGATGGGAGGAAGCGAGCATACATCAGTTATTGCACTACTTATTCATTTTTTTACTGTTCCAAATGGAGGTATTGGTCCTAATGCTCCGATAAAATTTGGTGTTAATTCAGGTAAGAAAAAATTCTTTGGGTTGCTTAATATTTGATTGTTATCAGTTTTATAATCTTCTCGTATCCTATAACAGCCCATTATCGCCCACGTGGAGAAGGGAACCTATCGTCATCCGATCTCGCCATACGTCCAAATATAAACATTATTCCACCAACTCCAGCTCCGGCTCCACCTCCACCTCGACATAGATTTGGTCGTACAATCCGTCCCAGATCTCCCCGGCGACATCGTGAGATTCCTCCTGTTGATAGAGCGGTAGGTTCTGTGTGCATTAGATTTATTTTTCTAATCTTATTTAATCTTACTATAGAATAATTATATAGGGAAGACCTCATGCACGTATAATGTGTGAAATCGCTGTGTCACAAAGTTATGATGACTTGAAGGCAAAGTGTGAGCGTTGGATGCTCCAGGAGTATGTAAGATGCGTATTGGGCATCAAAATTTATAGAAAACAGGTCACACGAACTGCTACTGGTCAATTTGACCGGTGTATGATTGTACGTATTTATTATTTAATACTTTCAAAATTTCTAAATGTTTTTTAATATTCTTAATATTCTTAATATTAGGCTATGCTCTGGTCACGCCAGGCAGTACCAACACCCAGGCAAGTAGCAGTAGCCAGGCAACCCGGCGTATTTGTAGAAGGGGTAAGATTGTCCAATCATTAATAATTAATAATCACACTTAAAGCTAATGTATTTTGCAAATGTTGATATTATAGTGGGACTTTGGAACAATAGGCTATCACAATGGTCTCGCCACTGCTTGCGCTGGGCCAGGTCTTCCCAATTATCAGATAAATATTCCAGTACAGAATGTATTCTGGAACCCTCCGATTGTCAGGGGAGTTCCGAATGTAGCTGGATATGTTCCTGTGCTTCCTGCTGGAGTTACTGTTCTTAATTTTGTTATAGATTTGTATAATATCCAACAGGAGGTCTTAGAAAATCAGAATAATAATTAGAACATGTGCAATTTTCTTACTATTTTGATCTTTGCAATGCATTTAAGAAACATAATTCGGCAATTAACTTTATTATAGTATTTTTTTTTAATACACAATATAGTGTGTATTTAAAAATTTGTATTTGAAGATGGTGTGCATAATAATCATGTAATACAGTAAAAAAATTAAGAATGGAGTATCTTAGTAATTATATTAATATTTGAAATTCTTCTAAGCTCAATTGATGAAAGTTGGTAAAGTTGTATATCCACCTAAACGGATTCTTAAACAATATTAAACTACTCGTCTATAAGTACATCTTCAATAGCTTTCTTAATTTCTGTTTCAGTCATAGGCTGATCCTTTTTGAAAAGCTCATAATAAAGATTATATAAATCTTCTATACTGGTAAGTAGTTTCTTTTTACTTTGAAACCAATTTCTATATCTTGCTATTCTTCTATTATATGCTTCATTATTTGGAAAAAGTGTTATTGCTATATATTTTATATACTCATCTTGGTTATCTGCATTACGCAAATTTTTTACATATCCTATATATTCACTAATAAGTTTATTATTTTTTCTATATCGAAGACAAAAAGCCTCTTTTATTATTTTGATTTATGCTGATTCAATCATTTTCCACATAATATCTTGTATCATTAACTTTGAGTCCTGCTCATTTATTAAACTTGAATTATTGTCTGTCATACTTACTTTATATTTTGTTTTATATAATATAAGTTTTATTTAATAGTGGAGCTAGTGTCACAGATATATATAAGTTTTATTATTTAATAGTGGAGCTAGTGTCATAGATACATAAAAAATATATACTCAGATTCAAAAGGGCGATCCTAAAGGATTATGCTTCTTACTAGCAAATAATAAAGTTAGATTACTAAATTTTATTAACAGCTTGCCTTTTTATCAATAAATAAATTAGTAGGTATATTCTTTTCATTAATCATAATTTTTGGATATTTTTTTGCTATCTGATCTATTATTTTATCTATTATTCATTCACAATTTTGTATTTTTATAGTTTTTATATTTACATATTTTTGTGATATACTTAAGATTGTTTTTGGTACTATTTGATTACTCTCATAAATAAATATATGTCTTAAATTTTTATATATATTCAATATCATCTTTAATGAGTTATTGTTAAGTAATTTCCAACCACAATCTTTAAACAATAAAATAATAATATCTTGATATATATTTATAATATCTTCTAGTAGGAATTCATTCATATTATAATAATTATCTATTCTTTCAAATCTATTTGTTTTGTATATTTTATTATGTCTGATAATGGTTTCTTTTTTATTAATTCAACAAATTTCTAATATTATATCTATATACTAATATTTTTCTCCATAATAAATATAATGCACATTCATTTCATTATTTGTTAACATATAAAACTGGAAATAATAATTCATTATTAGTATATAATTTCCTATTTTGTATTTGCAAATATTGGAATATTTCTATCATAATTTCATTTGAAAGATTTATATCTACTTTTTTAGGTATTTTTTTTAGCTATAATCTGTGTTAATTTTGAGTCCTGCTTTTTATCTTTTTGTATTTGTTTGAAGTCTGATGTAATATTATTTGTTAACAAATTTGGAATTTCTGGATAAGATGGTTTCCATATAACTGTTATACAATTTTTTACTATATAAATGCCTCTTTTCTCAAGTTTTAACTCTCTCATTTCTATATCTGTTTTGAGATTCACTCACCCTGCTACTATTAATTCATCTGTATGAATTTATTTTACCTAATCTCTTTAAAGATTTTACAATTTCTGATATTATTTTTTGAGCTGATACTAACAAGAAGAGTTTTATTTGTGGATGTGCTCCATAATTTTGTCCATTTCTTTGCTCATATAAGACACCCCATAATGAAACTAATAATGTTTTACTTACTTTTCTAGCAGTTTCACCTTCTTTTTTAATATTATATAATATATTATCCTATTTATCAAACATATCACTTTCACTAATATGAGTATTTTTTTTATATATAAGTATATTTGATAATTCATTCATTAAATATACTTTTAAATTATTTTTCTTAGCACATTCTAAATCATAATGCATATAAATTCCATATAGATTATATTATAAATATCTCATGTATTGAAGACTTTTCTTTGAAGAATTTCCTTCTATTGTTACTTTATAAATTCTATATAGAAATTTACTCTATTTTTCTGTAAAAGATGAGTTTATAATATGAAACTTATCTGATATAATTGACTATGACACTTCTTTTTTTATTATTTCAAATATATACATTGAATTCATATTATATTGATTAGCTTCTTCTTCATATTATTTTGCAAATATTAATGAACTAGTTAATGCTATTTATATCCATGCATTTTCCTACTCACTTATTTTTTCACTTTTTAATGATACTAAAGTACTTTCTTTAAAAAGTTTTATAATTGTTAATATATAATTTCCTGATTTATACATATTAATTTTACTATTAGTTTTTTTAGAAATAGCTTCAGACTTATTGATAATTCTTGTATATACTCCTATACTTGTTTTTCCATTATCTGCTTTAATAAAATAATATTTATTATATAATGCATGAAAGTTATCTTTAACTCTATACCATTTTCTTTTTTTATTATAAAATTCTATACTATTTGCTATATTTTTATAAATTAATATAGCTTTGTAGTAAATCCTAATGCTAGATCTATCACCCACTCACTTTTTGTTTTAGTTAGCTGGTATATCAGCTGGTTTTCATTAAATAATATGAGATCATCTTCTGAGATCAGTACTGAAACTTGGTTTTGCATCAGATTCAGATTTTTAGCTAGTTTAGCATTTTGTATTGAGATTGAATTTCCTATTAAAGCCTGTGAAAGATTCTTAGGATGACAAGATTTTGCTTAATTTAAATGTTGTTGATACTTCTGATATGTAGAAAGTTTTAAATCAAGTAGTATTTTTAATTATTATGTATAAAAAATATTATATATTACTTTATAAAAATCTTTACTTTAATTAATCACTTTATAAAAATCTTTAATTAATTATTTATTCTAATTAAATATGATTAGTGAATATACGTGTTAATATATACATAATTCTGATAAAATTTATAATGCTTTATGTACACATCCTGAGGGATGTCATCTTTATTATAAAATAAAAAAATATGTACTTTGTATTAATTGTAGAAAATCAACTACTTCTGCTTATGGATGATGCAAAATTTATAAGAGAGAATATTATTGTATTTTATTATCAAAAACTTTGTGAAAAAGTATATAGTATAGAAAATAGATAAAATAATAACCCTTTGGATCTATAATTACTTTTGACAAATAGTCACTGTGTAACTACCTTCAGTAATTTTCTTAGAAAAAAGTTTGGTTAAATTTTGGATAGTGCCAAAATTATTCTAAAAATTTAATCATATTTTTTGATATATGTTTAATATTTCAAAAATCTTTCAGATAGATCTATAAATATTAAGTAAAGTTAATCAAAAAATATACTGAAATTTGTCCTAATGAAAAATTTATATTTTTTACTATACCCTTTATCAAAAGAATATTTAAAGAATATTATTGCTCTGTTTTACTTCACAATAATAGAAAATTAAATATTAACTGAATAGATAACTAATACTTCGCTATGCTTTGCATCTGTTTTATATTCATCTAAAGATTCATACTTACAGTGACAGAAAGCTAAATACTAGCTAAACAGATAACTATGCTCTATTATACTTTGCATTCAGAGTTATTATGCTCTTCTGGAACAGAAAGCTAATTAATAATTAAATAAGATATCTTATATTTGGTTAAATTAGTATAATTTTAGTTAAAAAAATTAATATATATATACTTATATAAAGATTATCAAGAATAAGATAAAACTTTAAAAATCTATAGAAATAGACTAGACTTAATCAAAAATACACTGACTGTGTATTTAAAAAAATTTACTATTCTATTACTAATATATATAATTTAAAATATAAAAAAATTTTATATTTTTTATATAATTAATTATAATAATTAGTTAGTAA